ATTTCCTGCAAATTATAAACATATTGAATTTATTTATTATTCATATAAAAAATTAAATTAAATTAAATTATTAATTAAATTAAATAATTTTTAAAAATAGCTATAAGCTTAATGATTTTGTTTATTTAACATTTTATGTAAAAAAAAACAATTATATTTTAATTTCAGTAAATATCATTTAAAATGTCAAGCGTATCTAAAACCACAGCGCTTGTAAGGCGAACTACATTTTCTGCAGCTGCTACTACGGCTTTCCCTACTAACGCTCCACCAGCAATTTCTTTGAATTTAGAAAAAATCTCAGATTCAACGAGGGAAACCAAACAAAAGTAAATTAATTACAAATTAAATTAAAACTATTAATTGAAAATTTTTTCATTTTGTTCAAATTAATAGCTCTACCGGTGCAGGGAAGCCTTATTCTGAAGTACCCGGTCCATGGGGCATGCCAGTAATAGGAAATTCATGGCGGTTTGCACCACTAATTGGTAAGATTCGTTGATAATAATAATTGGAAGTAATTTAAAAGAGAAATATGATATTAATTTATGTTTAATATATAAATATGTATGGTATACCAAATAGTAATATAGAATATTCAAAGTTTTTCTTGCGTCACATCATATCATCATTTTTTATATTCTTGATATGCCAGACAGTCGTAACATTGCCCATACAGAATTTAAATACACTACAATATTTCGTAATATGTACAATAGTTTTTCCAGTACTTAAAGCGATTCGTACTAAACGTGTAGCCGTACCGCAAACGACACCCTTAAATCACGAAGCAGATTTACCCACAACGCTTGATCATGATTTTTAATATGATTAATTAGTATATTTGTTTAATAATCTCTCATCCACTTTTGTTAAAAAATATTAAATAAGTATTATAATAAAACAAGATTTGATGCTAATTACAATATATTAGGTTGGTTACATTGTAATGACAGCCTACTGCACCAAAGCTCATTTGAGTACAAATATTGCTTCATTATGATACCACGAATGACACACTATCTGTACGGTATTATGAATTCTACCGTACGGTAGAACTTCAAGTTCATCTTCTACTTTAAAGAAGATTGTTAAGAGGATTACTACCACTTAAAAGTAGAAAACCAAAGCATACAAAGCACGCGGACAGAGTGTCTCTTGAAAAGGTGGAACTCTCTCAGTCTAGTAGAAGTGATCCTACTTGACAAATCTATAATCTTTGCTATGTTCTTAGTTTTGAGTATGACACTTCAGTAAGAAAAGTGGCCCCAAACTTTGTAAGCGATGATGGATACTGACATATGAGATGACGTGCAGCTCCCTTATCATCCGTAGAGCCACAATCGTCTTCTTAATATGTTGTGGCCTGTCAGCACTAATACCGTAGTATTGTGTTAGTTTCGCTTTAGTTGAAGTAAATAACTGCTGCGAATTTTGTCTATTTAGATGAGTTGAGTCTTGTAATCCGAAAAGAGTCTTCATCTACTCAAGCATTCATTACTAAAACCTGGTATTTAAGTTTAATCCCAATTTAGCCATTGCAAGAGGGATACAAATATCCGAAAAGTGAATTTCAGAAACCGAAATGAGTTAGACTTTGACAAGCTTCTACAATTTATCAAAATATGCCTAACATTCTCAAATTAAGAAAAAATCAGCTGCTAGACTAATCAGAGTTTTCATTTGATGCTTATTAAAATTCCGAAAAAATAGAGTTTCTGCTTTAAACTCTTCCTATAATCTTATTTTAAATATACATACATAAATTATTTTAATAACATTAACATTTTCTTTAAATATATTTTTTTTTTCATTGAAAGCCAGATAACCAAATTAAAACTATAATTACAGGTCCATACAAAATTAGTGATCTTGACAAAGTTATGAAAGAATTACATATAAACTATGGAAAAATAGCAAAAGTTGGTGGATTGATTGGACATCCTGATTTACTTTTTGTGTTTGATGGAGATGAGATACGTAACATTTTTAAAAAAGAAGAAGCAATGCCTCACAGGTATTAGTTTATTTATTTGTTTAACTACTGTTTTTTACTAACTTTTTTAAATAACTAATATTGCTTATTAAATATATTATATTAAATATATTATACATAATTCTTTAAAATTACTAATAAATGTGCATATATTTTATAATCTTAATATATGAAAACCATAATTTAAAACCTGTATATTAAAATTATATGATTAATAGAAAATAAAATGTAACATTAATGGATATTTTATTACTATTGTTTAAAAGACAAAAATATATGTTAGATTTAAACAGATAATAATATATACATTGCAAAATTGACATCAACCTATGTTTATATCATTAGAGTATTAGTTTCATACTTATCAATTTATAAACCGAACTCTATTTTTAATTGATATCTTGCATTCCTTTTTTCATGCTAAAAGCTTTAGAATACTTACTAATCAATTAATATCATATCATTAATATTAATAGTATCTCTGATTTATACCTTCATTATTTCTAAAACGTATGCAATTATTATTTTATAAAAAACATTATTTTAAATTTTTTGGTATCTCAAGCATATGCGAGAAATTGTTATATGAGTAATAATTTCATATCAAATAACTATAATTTGCATAGGTTTATTGAAATTATAAAATCAACTAACTATTAGGTTAGGGGTTCAGTTAGGTCTATAGGTTCATTGTGGTGCCATATAAGGAAAAACTCAGAGGTTTAAAACTAACTTGAACCTTTGACAAAGCTTATAATGTTATTTAAGAGGAGATCTTAACTAACTATTAATGTAAGTTTTACTTGTGCTTATCTAGTTATCGGTTTCTAATAAACAAATCACTCCTATATACCATTTACCTTTTCTAGAAATTATAATTATTTGGTTACTAGGTTTATATGTAGTTTGCTTTTATCTTTAATTTATTTCCTGCCAATTTGGATTAAAAGTAAATTTTAGTTTTTTTGAAAAGTATCGGCATAAAAGTAATGTTTGAGATAAAAAAGATCCAATTTTAACTAACAGGAATAGTTAATTAACAAATACTTTTGTTGCTAATAGAAAAAATTAAACATTTGCGCTAAGCCTGGTACTTGCAGTTCAAATAAATTATATACGGGCGGTAAACTAATTAAAAAATTCGAATATTTCTTAAGACTTGGCAATACTCAATCAAAATAGCGTTGATTGGTCACCCAAACTTTAATAAATTAACTAAAAATTATTGTTGTTGCCTTCTCATTTCTATTCGAACCCTTATTACTTTTAAATAGTTTATTTTCGTTATAAAACGCGTTAATTTCGTCATAAACGACAAAAAATATATTCGAATGAAATAAATGCAAATATACAGTAATAACTCGATTCTCGAACTGAATCCAAATCATGCGCAAGTACGGAGCAAGTGTCGATTTTGAGAAGTATTAATCAAGCTTGTTAAAGAATAAAGTTAGTACTGTTTATATATTTGAGTTTATCTCGAATTTTATACCCTTTAATAAAAATTACTTTAACCATTTTTGCCAATTCCATTTTATGATCAGTTTAGAAAGACATTACTAAATTGATTTTTAAATTTTCATAAAAATTTTATTTTCAAAGTTTTCTTTATAAATCTGAATACTTCATGGCGGCATATCAATTGATATTATGTATTCAGACAAAATATTTACTTTCAAAGTTATTTATGCAAAATTTTATTCAAGTGGTAA